GCTAAAAATGTTTCATCACGACTATAAACGAAATGTGTAAGTATTTTGTAGATTACATGTGCCCGCTCTACACCCAAATGCATGTCTTGCATACGAAATATAATCATTTTGTGAGCGAAATACAGATCATTATTAAAAACCTGAAGACTGGATATAATTGGGTCAAAGAGTTCCCGGGATTTCATAATAAACGTCTCGTTTTTGCCCCAAAAGTCTATGGAATACAGCGAATGGTCGGTCCTATCGATGAAATAGTATTGTTTTGATCCGTAATCTGCTGTCAAATGTATGGCGTGTCGGCCCGAGTCGTACACAACTGTGCGGTTACTGCCATCCAAATGGGTTTGCACTATATTGACCTCAAAACCAATGTTAGACCAAACCAGAGCACCGGTCACTACGTTTAACACCAAGTCTCTGGACATTTCAGTGTCCGTGTAATGGATAGTGTAAATTGAATTTGGATCCGAAAAACTCAATACTTTGATTGTTTTGTCTTTACTGTCCAACCAATACAGTAAGTCATGGATCCAATGGATGGCCAAACTGTTGGGCTCTCCATTGCCCACATCTATCCCAAGCCTATTATTGCCAAACTTTTCGATGAATTGTCTTTTCTTGGGATCAAACCAAACAACCCGTTCCCCGACTGAATCGCAATCCATTAGTTTTGACACATGATTGCTATTCATTGTCATTATTTTTACTTTACTTGAATTAACCCTCAGTATTGCACTATCCGTAGCTATAATAGAGGTTAGCCCTGAACCTAATTATATTATACAATGTGTGAGTTACAAACAAAAATTAATATTATACATGCTATTAGAACTAGTAGTAGGTATAATTTAAATATCAATACTTACCCGTTATAATACATTGTATGTGGGATAAGTTGCAAGCACTTGTTATTAAAACAATTTTAAATAAATAATTCACAATCATTGAAACCAATAATAGTATTACCAATATATTGTATAAATTTAAAAATACACTTATTTTAATATAATTATTATTACCAATAATAAGTCAGACATTTACCATTTTGTACAAAATATAAAAATATATTAGATTGTTAACAAAAACTATTTATTAAATCATATCTCTGTGTACAGTATTTATCGCATAACTGAAGGTTTGTTTAATCAACGAGAGGGCTATTTAGTTGTATTTAGATATGGATTATGTCGATAAAGTAGCATGTAATTATTTGGGTTGTACCAGAAGGCTAATTAAGGCTATATTTATTTATTGAAAGATTAATATAATATATATATTATCCAGTCGTTCAAAAAAACTTGTCGCCTCAAGAATCGTTATATCTCCCGAACGGAATGAGCTAGATCAAATCTGTAAACTGTAAAATGATGGTCCACATATCTAGTTTTTTCTGACAAAAAATTATTAAAATCACGATATTTATTCGATGTTTATCAAACTTTCCTATAATATACTTTCACATCTCCACTTCCAAATAGCATACCCGCCTCCTTCCGACCCCCCTTTCAACTGGGCTAAAACCATAGCATTTCGAAATGACCCAAAAATTTCTATGTTCTAGTAACGTGATTTTAATAATTTTTTGATACAAACAACTAGACATGTGGAACTCTGTTTAACATTTTACAGAATTGATCTAGCTCATTCCGTTTGGGAGATATAACGATTCTTGAGGCGACAAGTTTTTTTTGAACGGCTTAATAATACAATATTAATACAATATTATTGTATTTGTATATCAAGTTTACAATTTGATTTGCAATTTAAACAACAATTTAACAATTAGTAATAATATCCGTGTTTTCATTGGTCAACAAAGTCTGGTATGAATTACTGTTCTCATTGTCGTCGATGTCTCGCAAAGCAATTCTTGGATTTAGTCTCAAATCCGGTGTAAAACTCATGAGATCTCGTTTTAATCTAATAATTATAAATCAATTAAAACTATTTTTCATCTCAAGTAAAATCTTACCTTAAAATATATGCAAACGATAGGATTAATGACACGAACAATACTATCATAAACACCATTATTAATATTAAAAATATTTCCATTCTGTTGTAACTTGTTAAATTATCAGTATTGTTACTAGTAACTTTAGTAGAATGTTCAACAGGATTTGTACCATCATTAATTGACAGACATCTATACACCTGTCTATTGTTCCCACCACTGGGTAAACACAGTTGTGAGCACTTTGATTGGTCGCAGGGGTTGTCGAGTGATCCGATGTTAGGCTGTTGTGATGGGCCGACAATTTTGAATGTGTTAAATGAACGCCAATTAAGATCTGTTGTATTTTGAACAAAAATACTAATGTTAGTCAATGACACGGAATGTCTCATTATTTTGTAGACCACGTGTGCCCTCTCTATACCCAACTGTATGTCCGGCACTCGAAGTATAAGCATTTCGTGAGCGAAATACAGATCATTGCCAAAGACCTGAAGACTGGATACGATTGGGTCGAAGAGTGTCACGGATTTCATAATAAACGTTTCGTTTTTGCCCCAAAAGTCTATGGAATACAGCGAATGGTCGGTCCTATCGATGAAATAGTATTGTTTTGATCCGTAATCTACTGTCAAATGCATGGCGTGTCGGCCCGAGTCATACACTACTGTGCGGTTACTGCCATCCAAATGAGTTNATCCGTAATCTACTGTCAAATGCATGGCGTGTCGGCCCGAGTCATACACTACTGTGCGGTTACTGCCATCCAAATGAGTTTGCATTATATTGGCCTCAAAGCCAACGTTAGACCAAACCAGAGCACCAGTCATAGCGTTTAACACTAGATCTCTTGGATTTTCAGTATATATTTTGTGAATAATGTAAACGGATTTTGAATCACCAAAACTAAACACTTTAATCGCCCGGTCCTTACTGTCCAACCAATACAGTAAGTCATGGATCCAATCGGTGGCCAAACTGTTGGGCTGTCCATCGCCCACATCTATCTCCTGCTTACCACTCACTGATTGAGCAATAAATTTATGTTTCGTGGTATCAAACCATACGATCCGCTCTCGGATTGAGTCGTAATCCATTAGTTGTGACATTTCATTGCCATTCATTGCTTTTATTTGTATTTTGCTTGAATTAGCCCTCAGTATTGCACTATCGGTAGAGATTAAAAAGTCTATTTCTGGGTCTAATAATCAAATCAGCCAACAAATCAATTAAAACAAATATTTTCCAAACATGATCATGGGCAAACATAAACTACAAACCGAGTGCTATGGCTTTGTAGGCAATTTTAAAACCTCGATCAGCCATACTTTCGTCCGTATTAAATGTTAAGTCGATTGTATTTCCAGAAGTCAATAGATTTGATGGTTTATTAATACCACTATATTTATAGGTCTCTGAATTGGAGGTAACTTTCAAATAATCGCTTTCATGGGTTTGAAAGTCAATGAATATCATAGCAATCACACAATTGTGCGGCACCTGTACTGTCCATTTGCATTGTATGTTACCATAATATATCATGGGATACCCGGGGCTGTGTATGACTCCCTGCGTATCATTAAATACCAGACCACAGCCTATTAAATATATTTTTTTAATTAAAGTTTTATTTTATAAAAATGATGTTTACGTACCATAATTTACAGCCTTATAGTAAAAAATAATATCAGGATGATCTTCAATATTCATTGGCCTTGGCTTTACATAATTATCCAATTTAACTAAAATGTGATTGGTCGATGATATGAACCTGGTCCTATCATCAAGGTAAGCTGGTGTAGAGTCGACCAATTGTTTGTAGTGTATTGATGGCCCATCGTATACAACAACCTTTATACTTGGTTCAAACGGATATTTGAGTTTAAACTTGCGAAATGTAAACCCCACGCTCATATTATTGTCCACCTTAATGTGCCAATAGCACGGATATGGCCTAGGTTCGTTACGCGTATTGCTGAAAATGCTTATGTCACCAGTGTCGTTTGTGAATGTTTCCAAACAGCTACCAGCTTTGTGAAATAAGTGTGATTACATTTATTATATAACAACATATAGATTTTTTGTGAGAATGTATTAATATTAGACATTTTAAACTAGGCACAATTTGTTTTTACTATTGTTTTGTGCTGAATAGTTAAACATAACGCTTTGCGGACGACGTTGATAATAACTATGGTGCGCTAAGTATTTGATGAACAGTGTGTTTCCCGGCGATAAAAATGCTGGATACATTTTATCCAGGCCAAATTTAGACATTTTGACCAAGTGTCGCAAAACTGGATACGTGTCATTGAGTCCGCTATAAATAATTAACTCGTCGTCTAGCCTTGTGGTTGTTATGTTTAAAATTGTGACCATGATCACTTGGTGGTCAGACACCTGGATGCTCCAGTGACACTCTTGGTCGTTTGCCCCAGGCTCAAACTTCACATCAATACTGCCCTCATCGCTGGTAAGTGTCTGATTGCACTCTTTGTTAGTGAAATAATAAACATTATTAATTATGATTATGAAACCCTAGGTGTTATTTTGGTTTTATGTTGTACTTACCCGTTATAATGCATAAAATGTTGGTCACATTGGCAGCAAATATAATTAATATAAATATTAATAAATAATTTACATGCATTATATTCAGGTTTTACAATATTATTAATTAACAACTTTATAACTAATATAATAATGTTTAATCATCTTTAAATAACTAAATTTTACAGTCATTTTGTTAAATAAATATTTATTTGTTAATTACTGTATGTTTATGTCTGGCATTTACAACAATTCTACAGTTTATTAGAAACATACAAAACAAATATTTAGTAATTCATATTTATATCTCACTGTATTTACAGTAGATATTAAATGTTTGGTTTATTAAATAAATTTAATTACTAATTATTGATCACAAGTAAAATATTGATTATATTAAATAAACTGACATAGATTCTCGCTTAATCTCTCTCAACATAAAAATACTAGTGTTTAAAATTGATTTAAAAATTGTTAATTAATAAGTATAATGGCTCTAAAACTTGGTACTAATTTCTGTGTTTTCATTGGCCAATAGATTCTGATATGAACTACAATTTTCATTGTCATCGATGTCTCGCAAACACATTCTTGGATTTAATCTCAATTCTGGTGTATATCTCGTGAGATCTCGTTTTAGTCTAATTTGTTATACAAAATACAATTAATTAAAAAAATTAAAAACTCATTTCAGAATTAAAAATTATCTAATTGTAAACAAAATTTACCTCAAAATTAACACAAATGCAAAAATTAATGCCACAAACAATAGCGCCATAAATACTGTGTTGACGATCGACAGTCTGTCCACAGTTTTACCATCATTTGCACGAATTTCACCGGAATTATCAGCAATTAAACCGCTGGTTATATCAGTTTTACCATCATTTAAACCATTTACGTAGAAGTTATCAAATTGGGTTAAACACCTATAGGCTTGTCCGGTGGCAACTGTCCGGGGTACACATAGTTTGGCACAATTTGAATGATCGCACGGATTTCCAGACAACCCTACGCTGGGCTGATGCGATTGGTTAACAATTTTAAACGTGTTAAACTCGCGCCGATTTATATCAATAGTGTTTGTCATAAAAAAGTGATCATCGTCAAATGAACCGCTAACCCTGTGTATTTTATAAACCACATGTGCCCTCTCTATACCCAACTGTATGTCTGGCACCCGATAAATGAAAAACTCGTGATTGAAATACAAATCATTGCCGACGACCTGAAGACTGGATACAATTGGGTCGAATAGTGTCACGGATTTCATAATAAACGTCTCGTTTTTGCCCCAAAAGTCTATGGAATACAGCGAATGGTCGGTCCTATCGATGAAATAGTATTGTTTTGATCCGTAATCTACTGTCAAATGCATGGCGTGTCGGCCCGAAGAGTACAGCACTAGTGGCTGATCGCTGTCCAAATTTAATTGCATTATATTAGCCTCAAAGCCAACGTTAGACCAAACCAGAGCACCGGTCACTACGTTTAGCACTAGATCTTTGGGACTTTGAGCTTGTATTTCATGGACAGTATATATTGATTTAGATTTGTCCCCTAAACTCAATACTTTAATAGCATTGCTATTACTGTCCATCCAATACAGTAAGTCATGGATCCAATCGACGGCCAAACTGTTGGGCTCTCCATCGCCGATAGGAATGACATGTTTTTCATTAAATGATTGTAAAATGAAATTATGTTTTTTGTGATCAAACCACACGAACCGATCGCCAACTGAGTCGTAATCCATTAGGCCTGACATCCGGTCCCCATTCATAGCGAGTAAAGTAGTATTACTCGAGTGTGTCCTGAGTAAGGCGTTATCAGCCACTATCACAAATGTTAGACTAGGATCTAATTGACAAAATGTAAAAGTGAGTATTAAAGTATTATTTTAATAAATGTTCATGGTAATAAACCTAGTCAACTAACCGAGTGATATGGCTTTGTAGGCAATTTTAAAGCCTCTCTCAACGATAGTGCCGTCCGTTTTGAATAACAAACTCATTGTATTTCCAGACGTTAGTAGATTTGATGGTTTGTGTTGACCACTATATCTATAGGTCTCTGAATTGGATATAATTGTCAGATAATCACTCTCTTCGGTGTGAAAGTCAATGAATTGCACAATAATTGTATGATTTCGCGGCACCCGTACTGTCCACTCGCATAGTATACTATTAGGATATAACAAGGGATACCCGGGGCTATGGATATAACCCTGATTTTTTATATACAACTGACCACAACCTTATAAAGCAATATAAAATCCATTAAAGTAATTCTGTAAAAATATATATTGTTGCAACTCTACTAACCGTAATTGATAGCTTGGTAATTAATTTTGAAATTAGGTTTAATGTATGCATAATTTTTTAAACTAGCCGATACGTTTGTATGTCTGAATACAATTAACACGGTGTTTGTCGACGAAATTATTCCACCATCATCCATTGTGTCCATAAGGTTGCCGGTAAGCAATAGTTTATCGTGGGTAGAGTGACCATCGTACACTCTCAGAGATAGTGTGCTCACTTGCTTGCCCTCCATACTGTTGTCGCTGGAGAAATCTCTGAATTTTAGTAACAAGCTCATATTTGCGGCTACCTCAATGTATGAGTAGCATACAAACGATCTAGTTCTGATGCTTATATCTCTGACCATGCTTATTTCACCCTTACTGTCGGTGAAAGTTTCGTTACAGTCTACATTCGTGCGACAAATTATTATCATTAAGTTCTACAAACAAATATTGTATAATTAATAATAACTAATTACACTACATAGACTTATTAATCAAGGTCTTTAAAATATTACTTACTAGCTTTAATAGTTGAATATTTAATAGCTATGCCTCGAGTGGTCGATGTAAACAAATTATTAATTAACCCTCTAGGACCACGTTTAATAATAAAACTGATGAACATGGTGTTTGTTGCCGATATTATCTCGTGGTAATTATATTCATGTGGATAAGTAACAATTGACTGCAAAACAGGATCCGACTGAGATGTGCCATCGTATATAATCATTTGATCAAGGTTATCTCTAGCGTAGAGCACCTCGATGGTTAGCGCGATAGCCATTCTAGGTTCCACTTGAATGTTCCAATTGCATTCCTGATCAACCGGAGTAGTCTGGACCCGGTTATATCTTCAATTTGATCTACTTTTAACGGTTGAGTGAACACAACAAGTCACTTGAGCTAATTACGACATCGATTGCGTCACAATTCATCGAGTTTGATATTGTGTGTTGTGTGTGTATGGTATTAATACCGCTAGGGGGCGCTCCCTAGTTATTTAGTGTTTAATTAAGAGGGCGCGAACCTCTGTATAAACAGGTGCACGACTCCTGTA